GACGTTTGTCCCAACACCAAATCTCCGCAGGAGCCCTGTGCAAGCACTTGCCCAAAAACCCATTACTGCTCACGTCATTTCCTCCTAAACATGAACTTTATAACAAATTTCACCGAGCAGCCCCTCAGCTAACAGCAGTGACCACGTTTCCTTCACTCCGGGTGCAGATGTGCCCACTTACTTCACTGAGGAATGGCTTTGTGTGTTTTTATTCCAGTCTAYTTTTTATGATCTTCATTTGCTGTGTCTTCATCTGGTGTGTTTATGTGGCTGGTGCTTGGTTTTCATTATTTTTAACTGCATTTCAGATCATTTGCTCTATGGTTTTGTTCACATTCTCCTTTTCCACGAAATTCTAATAAAACACTTGGCTACAGATTTTCCAAATTGAATACTGATGTTTAGTGCAGCTAATTATGCAGCAGGGTTCAAAGTGAGTTCTATAAAGTAACAATTTACATATTCCTGAAAACAATGGACACAAAACTACAAATTATTGCTACAAGCTAGTTTCACATTCTTCTGGAATTTCTTTCAGAAATACATATGTTTAGTATTCTCACGCATACAAAAAGCAGTAAATACTGCATTGCTGGCAYCATTATAATATTTACAGTGAAAAAATAAAACACACTCTGATGTGTCTCAGACCTAAAGGAACATGAAAAAATGCCAGTATGTTTCCTGCAAAATCTCAGAGTGCTTGACAAAAACCCTTCCCAAATTCAGCCACTCAGCATCCATCAATATAATCCAATGATACACAAAGATCATTTTACAACAAAGCATTCACCGTGGTTGCAACAACACTACACATTTAGTGTTTCAGCATCRTCAGTGTTCTGGCATAACCAGATTAATCATAACTTTATTGTTTAAGTCCTGACTAAAGTAGTTTTTGTTTGTTTTTTAAATAGACTGATTACAGGCAGCCAACCCTGTGAGCAGACCAGCCCRGCCTTCTCAGGAAGATCCAGACTAAACTGACTTTTAGAAAGGCTGCTGTAAACCATAACTCTGTTTATAAAAGCAATCACAAAAACTCAGTAGCTGGGCCCATAACTGTGATCCTTTGCACCAGGCTGACTTGGAGAGACAAAAATTCTTGCAGCTCTTAATGCAAGCAATATGTATGCAAACATTGCTATACCCCACCCTTTTCTAGTTTGTATTTTTTTAATTTTAGGATGCTACTTGAACCTTCGTAATGTGAAGTAATCTGCACAGAAGTGGATTATCCCTCAGTCTATCAATAACAATAACACGACAAACTTCAGAGCATGTTCCAACAAATGATCCCTGCACAGAGCATTTGCTCTGAGTTTCTGAGTGGGGTTATAGTGAGAGTAAACTAAAACACACATCCTCAGTTCCAAGCACATGATTCTTTTTCCCTCTTTGAGCATCCATCCGTGGAGTTTTTAGTTCATGGTGCTGTAACTCAGGAGGAAAACTAAGACACCAGCCAACAGAAGCAAAGAATATCTTCTAAAACCTCAACACAACTGGGACAGTGGCTGAACTCACAGGATCCAGTGTTTCCAAATGTGACATGCATGGAAAATTTGAATTACTTTTCACGKGTCCTTGGCTTGTACTTTTGTAGTTTTACTTATGATCACTGCACCAGGACTATCTGGTAGTAAGCAGGGGCAGTTCTATTGCATTAATTTGTACACACCTATCTACACTCTGTGGTCTCACAGGGGGGTTGGGTTTTTTTGCATGTATGAGCACATAAAACACTAAGACAAAAAAGCCTAAATTATTCTGATTGCCTAATTACAATAAAAGTTTAATATATTCCTAAAAAGAAAATTTTTTATAATTGTTTTACATTTTCCTAAAATGCTGRTAACTTCATCTTATGATTTCAAGAAGCCAATGACAAATCAAACARATCAAATGAGTGTGCATGATCCCTGGGAGTGTTGTCCCATCCCTGGCASTGTCCAAGGYSGARTTGGATGGGATAGTGGAAGTTGTCCRTGGCAGGGGGTGGAATGGGATAAACTTTAAGGTCTCTTCCAACCCGGACAGTTSTGTGACTTTATGAATGACACATTAAAGCACAGTCAGATTGATGTGATATAGCCGTTACAAATACAGGTAAGGCTTTGGGAGCAGCTCATGTCCAGGGCAGTCTGGTGCAGCCAAGGCCGATGTTGTAATTAATTAATGGCGGTAATTAATGGCGGTAATTAATGGCTGTAATTAATGGCGGTAATTAATGGCAGTAATTAATAGCGGTAATTAATGGCTGTAATTAATGGCGGTAATTAATGGCGGTAATTAATTGATGTCGCTCCTGTCGCAGCAGCCGCGGTGACCGGACCGCGCGGGCACAGCGCCCTCTGGCGGCGGCGCCTCCCGCAGCACCCGCGGGCAGCGGCGACAGCGGCGACAATCGCGACAATCGCGACAATCGCGACACAGCTCCCACGAGCCATGGAAACGGCCAAACCCGGGATTCCTGTCCCGACAGCCCGATCCCCCTCTGCGTGGATCCAATGCCTCCTGCTCGGAGCCTGGGCGAGTTCTCCAGCGTGACTCCAGCGGGTRTTGTCCCATAATGATTCAATCTCAACCAGCAATATGTCACTATTTCATAAAAGCTACCACTATTTTTGCAATCGGATGCACAAATCATTTGCACAATGAATTCATTGTCTCGCAGTCAGACACAGGAACAATCTCTGACATGAACTCCCTCTCTTCACGTTTCTGTCAGAGCAGTTTGACTCGCAGGGCACGAATCTCTTGCAGCAGCTCTGAAAGAAGGCAGACATAGAAAAAAGGGTTAAATACAAGATTTCTGGAACAGCACCTGAGAAAGTATGGGGCAGAAGGGACTTGTCCATGAGAGTGACACTCAAACCCACAAAGGGACACCAAAAACATCACACTCGGGGGACAGGAATACACCACACGACACGGGCCACTCCAGCTGGGAAGCAAGGCACCGTGGAACTGGAGCTGGTGTTTATAAAAGATGAACTGCTGGAGTCCAGAGAGGCTTGTTCACTTTAATTTTAAGAGCTATCAAGCACCATTCTGTGTAAAAACGTTCCTTTGCAGCAAAAGACACAAGTGTTCCTTATTCAGCAGATGGCACTAAGAAGTCTCACTTATTTCACATTTACTAGGTTACACTCACGAACACAGGGCACAGTTCTCTTCACAAATGGCCGTGTTTCACAGATGGGCTTAACAGCAAAAAATGTTTTCTTCCAAAAGGCTTATTAGGCAGAGCTTTTTATCAAAGAATAYGACAAAATTAAAATCCCAATCTGTACCAATTGAAGTTTAAAATAAATTTTGCAACAATTACTCCTCTGGCTTGTCTTCCCCACGCCAAACCCCCCAAAAAAATTCTGGACCAAGAAGACTCAGTGAGTAGTGGAAAACCAAATAAGAACTGTTCACAAATTCCTTTGTGGAAAGAACCCCCTGAAGTGTTACCYATTGACCTGCACAGCTCAGCACCAGCGTGGCTTCCTCTGAGCACTCCAGGAAGAAGAGTTAAATCATTAAACCCCACACACGAGTGCGGGTGTGAGGTGTCAGCTGGACTCAGAACTGCCTTGTTTAAATAAGGGGGAAATTCAAAGTAATTGGAGTCATTGGACACAAATGGATTACTAAAAGAAGGGGAAGAAAAAAAAGCTTTTCATTATTTCGGTTAGAAAYCTCAGAGAGTATAAATGAATGTATCAGTATCAGCTTTTGACTTGATAGGAAATTATTTTCAAAAAACTTGCAAGTTTATCACTGGACGTAGTTTATAACTGGATTTATAACATACCTGAAACAAATGCTTCTTTGACAGACAGTATGGCATAAAGACAAACTTTCCCATAAAGCAGACAAAATAAAAATACAAAATGGAAGAAAAACCTCCAACCCTAGGAAACTATAAATATTTTATTGGAAAAGGTTTCACGTATGAACTTTAAAAAACAATCAGTTCATTTTGTCACAGACAGGTAAGTAAATATTGCATCAAAGTAACAACTTCCTGGTGGGAAAAAAAAACGCTGATAGTTTTGTTGACAGCAAGGAAGAAAGCAAAGGCAGAAACACCAATCCCTAATAATCTGAAAATGCAGTATCCACATGTGTACAGTGGTGTTGAAAACTCCTCTTTGTAGGRAAATGTAACTGGCACGGGAGATTAATGTATCGAAATTGCAGAAGGTATTGAAAAGAAACAGGACCTTCTTATTATCATTTAGAAAATAAAGCTTCTATTTTCCTTTTTATTTTGCTCTTCCCATCAAAAAAACCCTCCAGTCTCTCATCAACTCCAAGACGAGATCCGATTATGATTGAGTGCACCTAACAATTACTCTTCTCAACTGGCACTGTCAATGTAAATAAAGACTACTTTATGTTAAATATGAAATCAGCGTAAGCCCTGAACTATGCAATAAATATTAGGTGAGTCATTAATAACAGGGAACCTATGCTGACAGAAATTTTCTATGCTGTATTCTTGGAAGTATTCTGTGAACTCCCAGGAGGGCTGCATGGAATACCATAATTCCACTTAAAATGTGGAAAGTCTGGGGAAAGGAAAGAAATATCACAGCACAATCTCCCTATACTCCATGGTGGACYTAASTAATGGMATTTCTACAMCAAAACAAACAAASAAAATAAAAAAGCCCTCCCAAAAAACTTCCCCAGTTGCTCAGAGATCAGGAAACCCAACCTGTCTTTCAACTTCACAGAAACTGAACGTGCCATGAATAGCTTGATCAGGTCTGAATCACAGGTTGTACAGAACTTGTGACTAAAATAGCTCTATAAGCTCGCCTTACAACTGGCACAAAGAGCTGCCTCACTCCCCACCTTTATCTGAGATCAAATTGTTTATCACATTCCTGCCTCGTACGTCAGCTCCTTGTGATGAAAGCCAGCCAGTGATTAATACATTTTATTAGGTTGGTTCCAGTGACTTGAAATGAATTTGCCCTGACTCCTCAGGCTCGCTCCCACACCCACTGCCTGGCACTCCAGCCATGTTAGGAATGCACAATAGAAAACAAATTATCTTAGGCGATACCTCATAAATCTATAGCAATAAAATTAACTGCACAACGGCTCCAAGCAGCAATCAGCTTCAGGAGGTTTTTCTCACTCTCTCTCCAAGMGAAAAGAGGCAACCCATCAGCTTTAAATCTCCAAAGAAGTTACTGTTCCCTTGTCTCTTACACTCTTCTCCATGCTCAGCTCATTAAGCAGAGCTGTAGAAGACAGATATGGAAAGCAGTCCAAACTCTTTTCAATTTTATAATTACAAAGTGACAGAATAGGAGGTTTCATCTTTGTCTTGCTCACTTAGCTGTAATCTGTCTTCTACTGCACCAGGAGCACAGATTCTATGTAAATTTACAGGCTGAATTCTATATGCATCCTTCTGCAGTGTAAAACCAAAACATGCTGGATAAGGATGAGAAGACTTGAATCAGCCTAGACACCGTCTGGCAGCAAACTATACTTAACTATTAACAATATCCTCTGTGCTAATTACAGCTTGTCTTGGCTCGAGTRAGAGCTGCAATTCCTTTGCCTTTGGCGTGATGGGAGGAAGATCAACTGTACAAAAATCAGCACCGACTTAAAAGTGATTCAGCACTGGATGTTTTTTATTTAATTACTGATTACCAGCTGAGACTGGAGAAGTGATTAGACACCCAAGCCTTCGGTTGCAAGGCATTGTTTGAGCTCTGGTCACAGCCATCCACGCAACATCTACATGAGGAAACCTCACATGGGGTTCTCTTCTGTCAGGTTTATAGATTAGATCTGTAATTCAAAGGTCTGTTGATATAATGATAGCCATCTACATGCTTTCTGCTTGCCTATACACAAGTGAAACAACCTTTTTTTTTAGGCAGTTCAGTCTCTCCACTCATGGATTTTGTACTTTTCTCAGGGTAGCCTAACAGGCCTTTAAATGAAAATAATTGATCTGTCTCAGATTAAAACAATAAAGAAGGTTACCTAAGACAAACCCTCTGACATTACCCGATCCTGCCATCTTATTTGTGACTAAAATAAAAACAACGTGCATGAATTCCTTTACGTTCAGGATGGACATAGAGCCACAACCTAAGAGGGTAAGTTTAAACTTTGGGCCTGACCAAGCCAAATGTGTAACGTGTAAACATCAACCAACACTGGCCCATTTTGTGTGTGACATCCGCAGGATCCCAAGATTCCCGAAGCACAGGATCGTTAGGGTTGGAGGGGTTCTTTCTCTGGAGATCATTCAGTGCACCCCAATCCTCGATGTCTGAGGGGTTGGAGCCGTCAGGGCAGCCCGAGCCGGGGGCTCCGGGCCTGGGGCACCGAGGATGCGGATCCAAGGGGGCTGTGAGGGGCACAGGGCTGCGGGATGGCGGCTCCTCAGGGCTGTGAGGGGTGCAGGGCTGTGAGGGGCGCAGGGGTGCGGGATGGCGGCTCCTCAGGGCTGTGAGGGGCACAGTGCTGCGGGATGGCGGCTCCTCAGGGCTGTGAGGGGTGCAGGGCTGTAGGATGGCGTCTTCTCAGGGCTGTGAGGGGTGCAGGGCTGTAGGATGGCGGATCCAAGGGGGCTGTGAGGGGCACAGAGCTGTAGGATGGCGGTATTCAGGGCTGTGAGGGGCACAGGGCTGTAGGATGACGGCTCCTCAGGGCTGTGAGGGGCGCAGGGCTGTGAGGGGCGTAGGGCTGTAGGATGGCGGTTCCTCAGGGCTGTGAGGGGCGCAGGGCTGCGGCATGGCGGCTCCTCAGGGCTGTGAAGGGCACAGGGCTGTAGGATGGCAGCTCCTGAGGGCTGTGAGGGGTGCAGGGCTGTAGGATAGCGGTTCCTCAGGGCTGCGGATCAGGGTGCGCGGCACGGAGGCTCCGGTGGGCCGGGGGAGGATGCGGAGGTGCGGGGTGGCGGCTCCCCGGGGCGGAGGCGCCTGAGGAGGCAGCGGGAGCCCCGTGGGCGCACAGCCCCGGCCCGAGCGGAGCACCGGCTGCCGAGACACGGCCCGCACCGGCTGCGGGAGAGGAGGAGATAGGAACGGAGAACCCCACGCACACCMCCGCCTCCATCTTGCGCCGCGGCTGCAGGTGCGCGCCCCGCCCGTGCGCGGCCCCGCGGAGG